TCGACACAGCCTCGAGGCATTAGAGTAATACCGCTGTTTTTACAGAGTAGTGAGAAATTACTCGCTGAGACAATTTCGGTACGACCTTCGAATGCTTCCAAAAGGGAAGGCGAAACAGCTACTACATGCTCAACCAATTTGCCGAAGACTCCGAGGAAAGCCAAGAATGACCTTAAGCAAGACTCTGTTGGGAAATGTTCAGACGCGTTAGATCAAGAACGTTGCAAATACTGTCTGACGCTGCTGCCTCTGCCACCCGAATGAATAAACGTCCATATGATGCAAAATTTTCAAGCTTTCCATTCTGGGCCGTTGTTTGAACTGTAGTCGACGTGCTGATCCACCAAGACTGACGGCACAAAGCAAAGCGTAGTGGATGCTAAAGCTATTATTGCAAATAGTTTGCAACCATCAACAAAGAGCAATTAATACGGCAGGAAACGAGTCTCCATATCAGTTCAAAAAGAGCACAGAAATATGAGTATGGATTTGAATCCAGAAGTGCGTATCAAGTTTGTGATAGCACCTTAGCTTTCGTTTATGACGACTGAAGAACAGTGATCATTATACATTCGACGTTTCTCTGCGAGCACTGGAACGGACTAAATTTGATGAATCCGAATACCTAACCTTGAATGATTTCTGTCGATAATAGTTATCATATGTTCACCTGAATGAATCACTCATAGTGTTGGGCAACAATGGAGTTATAAACTTTCGTCAGGCCGATAGCCTTTACTTTTACCACTGAGTTGGTAGCCCAGTTGGTATCTTCGATGACAAGATTCTCTATGGTATAGCTACCTTCTCCACTTTGTTAGGTAGAAAATATTACACAATTCATAATCTAAAAAACTACCTGTCTTGTTTTTGCTGTAGTGCTCCAGAGCAAATTGTGCCACTTGAATCGGGTAGAAATATGGCTTCGGTTGCCATTGTATGGACAACGGCACTCCTAAAAAAACGAAACGCTTATGCTAAGTGGAAATCGAGAGAAAAAATATCCATTAAATTGAATTATTGAAACAAGTCAGAGCAAGTGCAGCTAAAATGGGCTTTCTAAAACAAATGTTGGGCTCACGCGTTTCGGCATGGTCCGGAGTACAGATTTCCGAGATAACACTGGTCTACAGCCACTGCTTCTTTAGATTGAGAAGTTACATTTTCGAAGGTTTGGACATGTCTTGATGATGCTTCCAGAAAGAAAGGCGAAACAACCACTTGTCCAACCAACCGGCAGAAGACCCTGAAGACAGAGAAGAATAACCTGGGACAAAAGCATCAAAGGACTCTGCTCCAGACTTCGGTTATCTTATGCCGAAGCTAAATGCTGGAAACATCTGACGCATCTGCCTCCGCGACCCCGAAGGATAAGCGGTGATCGAAGCCAACTGACTGAAAGCGTCTTTTTGATAATATTATTTTTTATATTTCTGCCACTTTACTGGTTATATACACGAAAAAACAGACAGACAATTGTCCTGTTAAAACTGTCTATTAAAACTGCCAGCATTTCAGCAGAATCATGCTGGCCATTCTCAGAGCAACAATGATTATTTTTATTATAAAATTTTTTGTCATGAATTATTTATTACAACTAATTTGCGTAAGCTCTAGGGACAGAATCAGTTTTATGCAGAGAGAATTTACGCCTTTATGCGAGCATGCCTCAACCTGGATCCACCAGGTACAAAAAGAAAAGAAAAGTAAAGTTTGTCCCGTTGGAATGTCCATGTTCCTTCACTTTCATGATTGGACGATTTTGACGCTTTTCTGTTCATGTTGATGGGGCGGTGTTGATCTCTTTTTCT